GATTAAATTTGTAATAATTAATTAATTATTGTGTATAGTGTAAAAAACTAACGTTTACTCCATGTAAAATATAGGCGCAAATAGCGCCACCTTGTGAGTAATAGACAGTATCTTTTGTCAACAGAATAAGTGCTGGGTCACACTAGGGTCTTTTGCCGCATGTGGTAGTAGTCTGTCTGGTCTTCGATCGTAAAACTGCGCAGATAACATGATAAATTTAAATACCTTGTATCTCTAAGAATTTATAGAAAAACAAACTGTGAAATTGCTACGGCTAAGACTGAGTTGTTTAATTCACGAAATAGGTATATGTATTTGTATGAACTGCGCGCAATTTACAGATAAATAAATGGCGTAGCTTGCTTTTAAATGCTATCTACCAATTAAAAGGGATAGAACCTTTGTGTTTTTTCGTCATGTCATTGCCAACATCCTACCAATTTTACTTTTACCCGACTGCGCGACGCATTGGAGGGTAATGGATTTATCAGTCTATGTATGTAACAGTGCCGGATTAAGCAAGCGCGGGCCCATAGCAAATTCTTTTGAAGAGCCCTTGATCTGCTATGGGTTTTTTAGTATAAAGTGGTAAAAAAAAATTCTATACTCAATACCTAAGGCCTTAATACGTTTATTTGCCATCTATAGGTTACAATTTTGTGAGTGATTAATAGTACAGTAGGTTCTTATAGGCTCTGTTAGGCTCTGACAAGTACAAAAAGCCAGAGATGAGAATTCCTGGCAATTTAGGATTATTTTGATAAGAAACTAATTATTGAAAAGTGACGATACTGCACAATTTTATTTAAATAGATATTTCTAAATTCTAATACCTTTAAACGACCAATTTTTGTTTATTTATACCGGCGATCTCGGAAACGGCTCTAACGATTTTGCTGAAATTTGGCATGTGGGGTTTCTTATATCAGTAAGATTAACTGTCAGTATTATGAACGGCTAGTAAGTTTAACTGTCAGTTAGCATGACTGTCAGTTTGTTTAACTATCAGTAAGTTTAACTATCAGTAAGGGTATCTGCCTGTAAGATTAACTGTGAGTTTTATGAACGACTAGTAAGTTTAACTGTCAGTTAATTAAACTGCCAGCAAGTTAAACTGTCAGTTAGCATGACGGTCAGTTAGTTTAACTGTCTGTTTGTTTAACTGTCAGTTTGTTGAACCGTCAGTTTTTTTTACTGTCAGTTTGTTTAACTATCAGTAAGGGTAACTGTCTGTAAGATTAACTGTCAGTAAGATTAACTGTCAGTCTTATGAACGGCTAGTAAGTTTAACTGTCAGTTAGCATGACTGTCAGTTTGTTTAACTATCAGTAAGTTTAACTGTCAGTAAGTTAAACTGTCAGTTAGCCTGACTGTCAGTTACTTTAACTGTCTGTTTGTTTAACTGTCAGTTTGTTAAACATCAGTTAGTTTAACCGTCAGTAAGGGTAACTGTCTGTAAGGTTAACTGTCAGTAAGATTAACTGTCAGTTTTATGAACGGCTAGTAAGTTTAACTGTCAATTTCTGTATCTGTCAGTAAGGGTAACTCTTAGTAAGATTAACTGTCAGTTTTATGAACGGCTAGTAAGTTTAACTGTCAGTTAGCATGACCATCAGTTAGTTGAACTGTCAGTTTGTTTTACTATCAGTAAATTTAACTGTCAGTTTTATGAACGGCTAGTAAGTTTGACTGTCAGTTAATTTAACTGCCAGTAAGTTAAACTGTCAGTTAGCATGACTGTCAGTTAGTTTAACTGTCTGTTTTATAAACGGCTAGTAAGTTTAACTGTCAGTTAGCATGACCGTCAGTTAGTTTGTTTAAATATCAGTAAGATTAACTGTCAGTTTTATGAACGGCTAGTAAGTTTGACTGTCAGTTAATTTAACTGGCGGTTTGTTTAACTATCAGTAAGTTTAACTATATATTAGATTCCTATAGGCTCTGTTAGGCTCTGACAAGTATAAAAAGCCAGAGTTGAGAATTCCTGGCAATTTAGGATGATTTTGATAAGAAACTAACAATTGAAAAGTGAAGATACTGCACAATTTTTTTTAATAGATATTTCTAAATTGTAATACCTTTAAACGATCAATTTTTGTTTATTTATACCGGCGATATCGGAAACGGCTCTAACGATTTTGCTGAAAATTGGCATGTGGGGTTTTTTTCTATCAGTAAGATTAAGCAAAAAATCGATCTAGATTAGACTTATGTCTAGGAAAGCGCGTGTTTTCCGGCACAAATCCGGCACTGGTATGTAAGTATATTTTTTCATATGTGGCGCTCTAGAGAACAAACGCATAGGCCGTTTTAGATTATTTATACGTCGTTAGATTCATCTTGATAACGCGAGTGTCATCTATACTAATATTATAAAGGGGAATGATTTTTTGTTTGTTTGTTTATTTGTTGACGTATGTACATATGTGCATACATCTTACGACAAGGATGAAATAAAATAATATTTTATTCATTCGTCAACTTATGTTTTCATCTTTTTAGTTAGCATAAAAATGCAGTCGAGTTTTTTATTTTTATAATTTTAAAACTTGTTCTAAACATGCAGAGAACGATGGAACTGGTACATATTGAGAATATTTATATGTCAGCAATAAGGTGCAACGGTAAAGTCACGTTTCCAATATATTTTGATGTTATTAAAACGAAGAAAATCATAATACTTTCTTAGATTTACACGAATGTTTGACATTATTAAATAAAACTATCTTTTCGGATTTTTTCGCGGATTTATTTTGATTTTTGGTTCCCGACGTTTCGAATGCTTTACAGCATCCATGGTCACGGGAGAGACTGAAGTGTTACATGTCTTGAATGTATAGTTGTTACAGACAGCCTACCCACAATTAACAAAATGAAAAATGCACCAATTACATTACAATCTTTTTAACTTTAAAACATTTTTATTTTTAAAACATTTTTATAATTATAAAAATGTTTTAAAGTTAAAAATATTGTAATGTAATTGGTGCATTTTTCATTTTGTTAATTGTGGGTAGGCTGTCTGTAACAACTATACATTCAAGACATGTAACACCTCAGTCTCTCCCGTGACCATGGATGCTGTAAAGCATTCGAAACGTCGGGAACCAAAAATCAAAATAAATCCGCGAAATAATCCGAAAAGATAGTTTTATTTAATAACGAAGAAAATCATTTAAATATATCTACTACGTATAACGTGTTAATATGATTTAGTTATTTGAAATAAAATACCTAGTTTCCATAGTTTTCAAACGGCGATCTTAATCCAAAAATATTTTTTGTTTTGGTTAAGTGCCCTCAATCCATATATCTATAAGTATATACCAGTTCCATCGTACGCCGCTTCTTTGAAAAAAATATAAATTAAAAATAAAAAAAAAACCCCTATGCAGATTAATTGTCATTTGACATTTACACTGGCACGCATGAAGCACTTAATCGAGTAATCATACGCCAAAATGCCTTACATCATTTTGGAAAAGAGGTGATACTCTTACACTGCTGGACCGATATTAACCAAACATAGCTAAGAACCACCGCAAGAAACCGGCTTTCAAATGAAAAAAAAACGCATCGAAATCGGTCCGTCCGTTTGAGAGCTACGATGCCACGAACAGGCACACGCACACACACTGACATCGACGTCAAACTTATAACACCCCTCTTTTTGCGTCGGGGGTTAAAAAACAGATATTAATGACGGTGGCTGATACTGTTATAGATATTATGTATACTCTAATATTAAGATTTACTTATTTTAATCCATTCTATATTTAAAATCTTTTCATGCAATTATTGCTTTAGTATACTTTAATTTAGTTATAAATAAATTAACCCAAAAATGGATTATCTTACTACTTAAATGCGAAAGTTTAGATGGATGGATGTTTGTTTCTCAATCACGCTAGAACGGCTGAACGGATCTAGATGAAATTTGGCACAGTGATAGATTATAGTCTGGAAAAGCACATAGGCTGCTATTTATCCCGGAAAAATGTACTTTTTTGTTTCTCGTGGGATAGATTCATTTTTGTTTTTCACTAGAGACAAGCCCGAGCGAAGCGAGGGTGAGTCGCTAGTTTTAATATAATTTTCATATTGAAATTTTTAATATGTTAATAAAAGGTACTGTAATGTAGGTACCTATACAAATGCAATAACGTTTTATTCACAATATTCGCTAACATCAACATCTGGTTGTTAAAAAAACTTTAAATAATAAATATTAAATGGAAGAAAAGCAATAAAATATAAGCACTATTGGCGCCATCTTGTGAGTATAGAGCAGAGAGCATTAAAAGTGTTGTATTATCGATTCTATTCTTGTAATCAATTTCTTATGTATTTTGAGTGTTATATTATTTTCTTTTAATATTTATAGTACAATAATAAAATAACTGTAATACTTAATATAAAACAATAGCTAGTAGCTAATAACTACTAGCGCCATCTATAAGCTCGTCAACTTAAAAGTTACCTTTTTTGGGAACAATCTGAACAACCAAGCCTACTAGTTTATTTTCAATTATTTAATCAATTGAGTTCTCTGTGTACCAATATCTACTAATTATATCAGGCGGAGTGAAAAAATCATGAAGAAAATTAATGGTAATCTTTAGTATTTGTCTGAGTTTAAGGTATTTGTGTAGTAACAAGTGCCATCTAGTTTGAAAAATGTTTCGATATTCTTCATTAAGGTTACGTTTTTTATTTTTTTTATGATACATTTTATTTTCATGTTGTGAATGCGATAAGATAATAATTCAAATATTAATAAATTTTAGATTTAAAAAAAAATTGCTATACTTTTTCTATTTCTTCAGGGTTGCCAGAAAAGATAATAAGAATATAGTGTAATATTAATAAAAAAGAAAACAGCTGTCTTCTGTCAAAGACAAAGTTCATGTCATAAATTGCTAGTCTTTTACTTGTTATTATTGGATTTTATATCTATTGTTTGTTGATTTTGCATGGCTCATAACTTTATTTGTGAACAGATGACTTATGGAAAAGACATCACTCGTAATTGGAACACAAACATTGAAAGCAATGGGCATTCTATGTTTCAAATCATGACAGAAAATAGGTACTTCTATAATATTTTAACATTACCAACGTTATTTTATACATATAATTATCTTTTGTCTGTATATAATACTATTATGATTGCTCCTAATTTCAGAAAAAGGTCCCGCGAAGATGATGTATGTGAATTCATGCCTTTGTCAAAGAGAATCAACAATTTACATATAAACAATAATTTGACTAGTCCACCTAATTCCCAATCTTCTGATTCTAATCAAAGCAACGGGCTCAATGTTGAAAATGGTATATCATCACCAAGTTCATCTTCAGAATCAGATAGAAGACCTAGCTATGACCCAGGAATTAATTCTTCTGATAGCAGATATTATTATGAGAATAAGTTACTTTTCGAATTGCATTTAGAGAGAATACAAAGATCAGGGCAGCAGTATCCATTTTAAAGTTAGAATAGATTTAAGATCGTGAATTGAATTATTGTGTACCTGTCTTATTATGCTTAATGTATTTTATTCAATTTCATGATAATCTAATAAATGGTATTAAATAAATAAGACTTTTATTAAGTGTGTTATAAAATAATCATCTTAGAATTTCATTAAAATTATAAAAATATTAGGACAATCTAATTTTATTATTGACATCATATTGCAACTGCATTTTTTAATTTTTGTCTTGACTTGAGCCTCTGCTCTAGGTACATTCATTTTTCACCAATCACAACAACGGACAAACTATTAATACGCCACCTGGCGACAAGTTTTCTAAGCGCATAAACAGTAATGGCGGATTTCATTTGTCGTAAAGAGAGGGAACGTTGATGTTTATGTCGTTTTTATTGAAATATCGATGTAATTTTTCTAATAATACGCCATAAAAATCATTTTTAATAAACACAGTGAATAATTAAATCACAAGGTAAGTGGAATAAATATCGTTTACATCGTAACATGTGTAAAACCGTGACCTTATTTCGGAAGCGGTACTTTGTTGTACCGTTAGACGGGCGCGTGGCCTTCCCTGAGTGCTGGTCGGAGAGTGCCGCGCGAGAGGGCCGTACAACCCCTCCTCTCGCGATTTCCCTGACGGTGGTGGAAGGAGTCGGGAGCGGGAGTGATTTGGTGTATCGAAAGCATATGGAGGGGATCCCGCATATTGGTGGGGATGCGTAGCGCCGCGCGTGATGGACACTCAGCTGGGCCAAAGGAACTGGTAGGGGTGAATAACCTTGCGTCTTCCGTAATATGTTCCGCCCACCATCATAGTATAAACTCAAACAATTTTTTATGAATTAAAACATAAAAACTATGTAATTGCGTAACTACTTAAATCATACAAACTGCCATTTGTTGGAATTTCTTTGTCTCAATCGTTCGTTTGATCTGACCTTGTATCAAAGTTCAAATGCACAAAATGTTATTTTTACGTCTTGTTGACCTTGCATAAAGAATTTGTCTATTTAAGTTTAAAAGTAAAAACTGAAAACTATTAACTAGCTAATACTATTTGCAAAAAAAAAACACAACGCTTTTAGTATGTTTATTTCATACTATTTAACATTGTTTGTAACTAAAAAGAGAAATAATACAACCGTTATTCGTGGATTAATTAAAACTATTCACAAGTGTACACACATATCCAAAGAACATGTAACAAGATGATTACCCAACTAACAGGCTTCCTACAGTTATTGAACCACAACCGCACCTCGCCGCGTCTTGTGAAAGTACAGTAAAGAGAAAGTGAGGATCACGTTAGAGCACGAACATACACTCAAACTGTGTGCGTATAACTAACTCAACGGTCGAGTATTGGGCCTGTATAAAAACTTTCTTTAACCTACTTTCTTGTAGCGATCATCTTTCGCCTCTCACCGTCGTTGAATTAATTCCAGTGTGTCGTGTCTGGTGGTTGGTAGTGGTATGTGCCCTACCATTGAGTTCCCTGTAGTCCCGTACGTTTGCCGCGGAACGGTGGTGGGATAGTGTTGTGGGGATACGGTGGTCGTGAATGACGCAAGTGGGACAGTGGTTTTAATTTTTTTTTACTCGCTGCGGCGGAAAAGTGGGTTATGTGTGACATGCAGAAAATGCCGACAAGAGATGATGCCTCTTGGTAGGAGGATGCTACTTATATTTTTATGATTTATTTTTTAGAGTAAATATAAGTTCTAAAATATCAAATTCTACATTCTAGCGAATAAAATAGTTAATCTAATCGAGTCAACTAGATCTGTTGCATTCAGAACAACAATATACTAATATTATTTAGATTACAAATAATCTAGTGCGCACATATTTGCTTTTACTATATACATACATATTTCAATAAATGTAACTATAATTTCATAACAAGCAAATTGATGTTTGTAATAATTATTTAAAAACTTTCACCAAGCGATCAATAAAACTAATATTTAAATAATCTTGTCAGCAGTGACGAAGAGTCTGAGATGAATTTTGCTGCTTTCTCAGCAGTTGGAGGTGCTGGGACACACTTTGTGACAACAGGTGGTCAGCTACCTGTCACTAAGTTGCAGCAAAATGTTACCAATAATGGAGGGCTATCTCAGGTAAGAGGAATATATTTGGATAATTCTGAAATATCAAGGTAAAATTATTATTTGAAGATATATAAACTATTAGAATTGTAAATGTTCTCATACATTCACACAATAAAGTGATGTCAACGGGAAAAGAGATAGCATGACCTACTCTCATATATTACATATATTTATCATTCAAAAGTTGTTAATAACGATTATTTAGAGGAAAGTGTCGTTTTCTAAATAATTTTATTAATTTTTCATAATACTTAATAGTATTGCATTTAGTGTATTATTTATAATTTTTATACTTAAATTACATTGAAAGAAGGTATCTATGATATGCGCTTAAGTAAATTATATACAAGGACATTCATTATAATGACAAACATTAAATTTTTAAATGATGTTTTTATGCAATTTTATTGTTTTATTGATAACATTACTTGCTTTTTTTCTTTGGAATAGAATAGAATTACCTTTAAATAACATATATTTGATTTTACATATTTTAATTTTTAGCTTGATAAGATCAACCCATTTATCTATAAAATTTTGTAACAAAAGTTTATGTAAATATTTGTTACCAATCTGCTAACATTCAATTCATCAATACATAAAGAGACCTAATAGAGATACCTCTTTGGGCCAAAACAAATAAACTATGATAGAATATATTCTATATTATAGAATCCCTTTGAAACTATTCTAGATTATACTTATTTATTACAGATAAATAAATTTTTTGTCTGTGTCATCTGCAAAACAGCTGATCTCCAAAACAGCTGGACTGATTTTGACAGAACTTTCACTGGAACTAGCTGATGTTATAAGGAGTAACTTAAGCTAGTTTTCTTTTAGAAAAAGTATTAGGATTCTGCTAAAAAAAATTAAAACGTACCTAGGGACGCACCCGAGCGAAGCAAGGATAAGTTGCTAGTAGTTAATAATCTAAGAGAATTGTATGTCTTATACATACATATGTACATTTTCTTAGAACAATGAACTAAGAAAGTTGTAGACATTGTATGGTCACAACTTTCACTTATAGAATAGAATCTTTTACGTAAAGTCTTGAGGACTATTTATTCATGCCGAAATTAGATATTGTAATCGAAGGAACATTGTATATATTCCCTCCACGAGCGCGGACACGCCGGCGTTACAGTTAACAATAGATTTCTTAGAAATTTATCTGGAGGTGTATTTTCTCCTAATTGTTGTAATTACAGTATAATATGTATATATTAATGTGAATGTTGCTCTGAATGTAATTGGAAACACCAATAAACATTCTCGTATCTATATAAAATGAAATATTTGTTAGTAATCAAGAACGTCTGCTCCGATTTGGCTAATCTTGTTTAAGTATTCGTAGTACTTCAAATCAGGTTTTAGAGGCAAAAAATTGGAAATTTTAGAAATTCAGAAATAAGTGTTTTTGTATGAAACTCCTAAGATATTTTGTATAAACTCATGGAGAACAAACAGATTTATTGAAATTTAGACAGGACGTCTATGAGGTCGACTAGTATCACAAATATAGGAATTATTTAAAACTAGCTACTTACCCTAGCTTCGCTCGGGTGTGACCCTAGGGCCTATGTGTCTAACAATAACCTAATGTTACTCCAGGTCATAGGTCATAATTTATCTGTGTAAAATTCATCAAAATCCGTCCAGCCATTTTAGCGTAAAGTAATAACAAACATACAAAAATAAAAACTTTCACAATTATATTTTGTGACTTTTATTACAGGTGGTAGGCATGGTTGGTGGAGTGAACATGGGTGAGGGTGTGCAGTACCTGCGTACGATAGATGGCAATACAACATTACAGGCCACACCGCAACTCATCTCCGTACCTATCGCTTTACCTGGTGCTAAACCTGGTATGTACAAGCTGTTCAGGAAGAACTGTTATATGCTTACCAACATAATCTACAGACAGCTCGACCTCAATAGAAATAGTGTCTTAATGGCTTAGAAATCCACTTGTACTAAACAATTGTATTATAAAAATTAGCCAAACAAACACTAAACCAAGGCATCATAAATTAGAACCCTGGTGGCTTGGCAGTATATGAAATGTTACCTATATAATAATAAATTTTATTATTTTTTTATTAAATGCTCGAAAGTAATTATTACTAGGATTTTTTATAAGAAAATAATATATGTAGAATATGTATATATTTTTGATATTAACACATAAGAAATTATATACACTATAAATATCTGCATCCTCAAATATTTTATCTACTTTCAATTGGGTGCAATGTATAGAAAAAAAAAACATAAGACTAAAAGTTTTTTTTTTTAATCTTGTTTGTAGTTATATTATAAAGTACAATAATTCTACATTTGAATAAGCCTGGATAAGTGTCATCTTCAAAAAACAATAATCATTTAATAAAGTATATTTTGATATGATTCAACAGGTGATCCACAACCGACGGTACAAATCCAGGTGCTCGGGCCCAACCTGACGCTGCAACAACAGCAGCCCAAGTATCAAATGCATTTACCTATACAAGGCTTTCAACAAGGTAAACAAATTGATATTTTAATTTTCTATCAATAAAATTTACATATTATTTAAATTCTTTGAAGTTTTTTGTTCTATTTTTTTTATTTATTTAGATTATAAATTCAAATAAATGACTTTTAAGCATTCCAGTTGAAAGACTATTATATTTTGTTGTTTACTTTTTTATAACTCAAGTTTAAAGCATACCACTTTAATTATAAATATACATATTAGTTTTTCTTACTCTTACTACTACATACTAATGCAAGCATTCATTTATATAATAAAAATAATGTACTTCTTAATATAAACTTTCATACTGACATCCTATGTATGTTGAAGTAATAAACTCTATACAGATAAATAAAATTGTAGTGTTAGATTTTTACTAAATGCATATGCAATTATATATGGCACTTAAAGAAAAACACAATTTTTAAATTTTTTGTCTGTCTGTTTGTTCCGACTAATCTCCGAAACGGCTGGGCCGATTTTGACGGGACTTTCACTAGCTTATAACTGATGTTATGAGAGTAACTTGGCTACTTTTATATTAGAAAAAGAATTAGGGTTTTGCTCAAAAAAAAAATAATTACCTAACGACGCACCGAGCGAAGCGAGGCTAAGTAGCTAGTTAAAAATAAATCATACAGTGAAAGTGATGTCTGCGAACCCGTATTTGGCCAGTGTGGTGGACTATGCCCTGATCTCTCGTATTGATTTAAAAAATTGTCTTAGATTTAGAACAGACTTAAGATTCTATACATATGAAAATCTTAACACGGGTTGTAGTACTTTCTTAGCTCTATATCGAAATAACGTTTATGGTTTTAAAGGCTTTAATTAGTCGATTCACTGTGATCAGTAAATTGATCAATCAAAACGGGCCAAGGCTTTCCACCACATCCTGGTATTGCTTGCTACTGTTAACAATTTAACTAGGGTAATTACAATTTCACTGAAAGTGCTTAGGAAAATTATAATATACCTAAAAATGTCCTGTGCTATTGTAAGCAAAGGAGACAAAGGACGATACTCTGGTTAATTATAATTTTAATAGTGAAATTTCCGTGCGGCATATATAACTGTATATAACTATAATTTTGATTGAGCTTGATTTTGAAAACTTTTATTCCAAACTTACATTATATGTTCTTCCAGGTGGTGCGGTCCTCACAGTAGCATACTCTCAAGAGAACAATGAAACCGGTGGAATACAGCTTATAGGAAACAATTTGCCTGAAGGTGAGGATAAATACAAATACTAATATATATCTAAATGAAGGAAGAAGAAAATATTTCGATATTTCTGTGTATGGGACATTTTAGAATGTTGTATAATTTATATTATTTATATTAATATTTTTATCTGTCTGTTTGGTCCTGTTACTCAATATTGTCTGGATTGTTTTTAATCTGAGTCTGTTCAGGGATAAAGTTTAAGCTCTTGTTATATAATAATATGTACTCTCCTATGTAACTATTGAAAAATAGTATAACTAAATTTTATATAAGACTCTTTAAATTTGTAATTAGACAATCAGATTCTATGACATGTGTAGAAATTCATTTTAGTTTTATTATTTTTTATTTAATTTTATAATAGTTACTTTATATAGCAATAGTATATTTCCCATAAATTGTTATTTTTAATTGAGAATAAAGTTAATTTTCTATCTAGTGACTTTCCTATGTCATATCAATGTATAATATATAGAATAATTATACTCAATATATGTCCAGGTACATTCAGGATAAGATCAGGTGAATAAAGCAAGTTATCGTGTTCTAACCACTTGTGTTATAATACTCATCTGTCGCCATTGATCAGTAATAAATAATATTTGTGTATGCGCTGTTACTAAATATTAATTCATTTTACAAAATCACTATTTATAAGACTATATGAAAGATATTTTTAAAATACTACGTTGTTTTTTCTCTTGAATACATTTTTTTAATATATTTTTTTTGCTTTTAGTTAGGATCACAATTAATTTTACAAATAAGATACAATTTACTCTATGTGTATCTTATCATTGGCACAACATCGAATCATATATTCACAGGCACATTTTACTTACATAAAGTTGATTTTATTTCCTTTTTTTCTTATAAATAACTTATTTTTAAAGGATTGCAACTTCTAACGGCTCTACCGCAGGAGATGCAACTCGTCCAACAGCAACAGTCACAGGAAAATAAAGATCAAGTCCAACAAAATATACAACACCAGGTATTAATATTTTTAACAGAATTAGTAGGCATTGGTTTGTGGTTTTTTTTACAACATTTTTATATTATCTTTGATAAAAGGAAATTTAGAATTTTTCGTTGTTTTTAGAGCAAAAAAGTTTTATTTTGTTTTCTTAAATACCACATGAATATATAGACAATTTTATTATAATGTGATCGTCACCAATGAAATTATTATTATTACTCACCCACACTTTGCATGGTTTTGTCCCTAGGTACTTTTTAACGGTTAACATTGGAATATATAGACTATATAAATATATGATATATAGCCTAAAACCTTCCTCGATAAACGGGCAATCTAATTCAAAAATAATTTTTAAAATTGGATTAGTAGTTCCTGAGTTTAGCGCGTTCAAACAAACTCTGCCTCTTTATAATATTAGTATAGATTTAATGCTATGTTTCTATGTAGTGACAAATAAGGAAAGATTTTTTAGGTATCATTTGCAATCAATCCTGTGACTCCTATATAAGATACGATATTTATACATATTTTAGAAGAGTAATTTATATAAGTTTATAAGTTGTCATTTTTATAAGTCGTCATGTAAAAGTTAGACTGATCGCAAATTATACCAGGGAAAAAATGTAAAGTGGATCCACCTTAGGACCAAATGTCATTCATGATTAATTTTCTTTTAAGACGCCTTGAACATTTAAGATATACTTAAATACATTCAGTTTGTTCAAAAGAGGTTTTATTTTGTTCGTCACAGGTGTTCATAACTCCCAACAATCAAATAGTCATCAACGGCCCAGACACCAAGCCCCTGAACAACAACACCAGTGCCAACAACAATAACAATGATGTTACAGATATCGTCATCAAGGAGGAATTCGATGAGAACAATGACGACGTGAGTTATTCTTTGTTTTCTTTTTGGACTTAAAGAAATGAAATAGTACCAAATTTTTGGTACGCATTATCTTCACTAATTGTTGCAGATTTTTTAATAGTAGAGAGTAAATAATATTGAATGTAACTTTAAAAGATGTATTTACGTTTAGAATGATTGTAAAATTAGTATACCTTAAAAAGGTATATATGAAATATTATATATGTATATAATAATGTATATATGTATTGATTACTATTTTCAAGAAAATTCTTTAAATGATTTAAATTTTGAACTTTGGTTAGTCCTTCAAATCTTTATGTATTGTTTGTATCACATTTTTTATTTTTCTGTACAGGAGAGCTCTCAAGGTACAGAAGCGGGTGACAGTATACCGTGGCAGCTCAGCAACCCTTCGCCAGATCTCCTCAAATACCTCAATACTTTGCCACCACAGGTACAACTAAATTGTATGTTTGCATGTCACAATAAATTAATTTTCCTTGCATTTTATTTATTTATTGTAATAAATATAAGTATATAGCTTTTTAATAATTTATTTTTATTTACTTTTTTCCTAAGATAAAATATATTTTTTTAATATTTCTTCTTATTTTCAAAATTTACCTTACAGCCATATTCGACTACTATATTAATAAATAAACAGGGATAAAATAGATTCTCTTAATAATTTTTTAAGAATATTACCATTCCTGACCTTGAGTGTACATAAGATTTCAAGCCAGCAGAAAGTGACAATAAGCCTTGTTTCTTCATTCCAGCAAACACAAGCTCTACCGGTCTCTCTGCAGCAATTTTTAAGACTCAACCCAACTGAGGCGAAGAAACAAGAGTCCACCGATGTGGAAATGACATCTGTGGAGGAGGACAAGAAGGAGGTCATCACAGAAGCTGTTTTAGATGAAGGTACTTCATCATGAGTTATTTATATTGTTCTGTTTAATGTTTATAGGGTATTTATTAGTATAAATACATAGTAATATAAAAATTAACACTGTGAAGAAAAAAATAAATAACTCTCCAAACGCTACCAACAACGATTCCAGGGGCAAAATTATCCTAACCGCTTTAAACGACACGATATATTGAAAGTGTCACAAGTAGTTTAAATCAAAATAATACGAGTAGTGCTCAATGGACTGCACGCTTTCTGTGCCAAAACACAGAACATATTCATTTAAAGTTATTAACTGATTGTGGATTATAAATGTCTTAAAAAATGTCTGACTAAGTTTATATAAATTATTTAAATAAAATATTATCTCTAGATGGAACCCTTCGCATACAAAATAAAAAGAAGAAGAAATACAAGAAGAAACCTCCCAAGCCCGCTCGACCAAAGCCCGGACAAGTGATCATAGCCACAGCGTCAGATGGCACACCCATCTTTTGCTGTCCGGAGTGCAGCATGGCTTACCCCGACAAGAGTCAATTGGAAATGCACTTATCTGTGCATAAGATAGAAAGGAGATTTATATGTGGGATTTGTGGGGCCGGGTGAGTTCAGATATTAGTAAAGTTAGAAAGTACATGTGCTGATTTCATATTATTATAGAAGATGTAACTTGTAATTTTAGCTGAAGATTATATAAATTCCAATTCCATATTGCTTGCACATTTTGTTTATACAGTGATTTTTTGTTGTACTGCTTCATGGTACATAATATAGATTTTTAATTTTTACATTTATAAGAATTGTATATCTAATTAAATACAACAATTATAATTCAATCGAAAAATGTAACATTTTTGTTAATAGTGGGTTTCTATTCCAATATCATTAAGTAATAGTCTTTAAGGCAGTGGTTGGCCAGAGGCACCACGTTCGCTTGGAAAACCGAGTGAAGCGGGTTCAAATCCCGGGTCTTGCACCCCTGATATTTTCATATGCCTTATCACTTGCCTTACGGTGAAGGAAAACATCGCGAGAAAACCTGCATATATGAAAGAACCTAACAAGTTTTCGAAAGACATGTGTAGTCGGCCAACCCGCACTTGGCCAGTGTGGTGGACTATGGCCTGATCCCCCTCGTATTGAAGGGAGGCCCGTGCCCAGCAGTGGGAAGTTAAATAGGACTGAATACAATATAGTCCTTGCGTTAAATGAATATGAACAATTTATTTACCAGGTTGAAGCGCAAGGAGCACCTGGAGCGCCACAAGCTGGGCCACAACCCGGAGCGGCCGTACGTGTGCGGCGCCTGCGGCAAGGGCTTCAAGCGGCGCGAGCACCTCAACCTGCACGCCGTCATACACTCGGGAGTCAAGACTGAGCTCTGCGGGCAGTGCGGGAAGGGTGGGTTGTTGTATTATAAGCGAGCGAAGCGAGGGTGATTCGCTAGTGAATAATAAAATTATAATATAGGCTTTAGCTAGAAGACTTAAAAAAAACTGCTTAAAATATAGATAATTCTTTTAACACTACATTTATTCCACATACATGTGTTGACTGGAAGATATATCTCTGCCTCTCTCTCTGTCTCTGATAGAGATAAGTCCACATTTGTACACGTCACTTGTTTTGCATTAAACAATATATAATAATTCAATGACATTCCATGATGCAGGTTTCTACCGCAAGGACCACCTGCGCAAGCACACGCGCTCGCACGAGAGCAAGCGCGCGCGCGACGAGGCCGGCGCCGACGGCGAGCCCAAGCCCGCACTCGCGCCCGCGCCCGCCAACACCGCCAACACGACCAACATAGCCAACACGCAGCACACGCTCATGCCCGAGATCACCATACATGTTAGTCACAATCTTTTGTTTTTGAATTTTGCTAGTCTTGGACGACATGTTTGGCTGAGCTTGTAGTGACCCTAGAGTCGCGGGTTCGAGTTCCGCTGGGGGCATTCATTAGTGTGATGAGCATGAATGTTTGTACTCCAGTTATAGGTGTGTATATTACCATGCTCGTAGCTTACCATGGAACTAGATGGTGCTGTGTGTTTATGTCCCAACAAAATCCCAAGTTATTTATTATTTATAGTCTTACCCTGGCTTTTACCATACTTTCAGAAATTGTAGACTATATTATAGACCCCCTACATCCAAACTTTCAAACTTAACCTCTTTGTAATATTCAAGTACATATTTGAGAGGCTTAAGATTGAAGTTCTTGATTTGTTTTTTATTTTATTTTTTATTTTGAAATGGAGGTAGTATTGATATGATATAAGTTTGTAGTATATAACTTTTATATTTGAAGAAAATTAAGGGTACTGTCATATTAAATTTTTAAAAGTATTTCCATCCATAAGGATCAAATAGTTACATTTAATTGATTCTAAAGTGTGGAATTAAAGACTTAAATTGTTAAAATGGCAAGCTAAAGATCGATTGTCCAATTTATATACAATATGTGTGCAGTGTATACTCTGTCCAATAAACGACATTTCTAATATTCATAATGCGTGCGTGTTCGTCTGTGTGCACAGGTGCCGACGAGCTCGAACATGCAGGTGCCGGTGCAGATCAACATCCCGCAGCACGTGATGTCGTCGCTGGCGGCGCAGGCGCAGGCGCAGGACTCGCTCGACGCGCTGCTCGCGCACCACTCGTGACCGCCCGCCGCCGCTGATGCTGCTGGCCTCGCTGGTAATTGACTCTATGATATGTTCTAACTAGTATAGTTTATGACGACTACTGTACTCGCTGGTAATTGATTCAATAATATGTTGCAACTAAACAACTATAGTCCATGATGACTTTACCATACTCGCTGGTAACTGGTTCAATTATATGTTCTTACTAAATTAATATAGTTTATGATGACTCTATCCGCACTCGCAATAGCTGGTAACTAACCTGTTGTGTATTCGACCAGCAATTTACCATCTAAATCCATTCAGACGTTTTAAAGTGAAAGAGTAACGGTTGGGGAGTTCGCGTACTCGACTTATTTTAGAGAATTTTCATGAATTCTTTGATTAAAGTGGATACCCGGGTACCCGGAACGGTCAATAAAATAGTACCCGGGTACTCAAAATTTCATGTACCCAGGTATACCCGGATCCGGGTACCCGGGTAGAAAACCCTAGTAACAGACATATACACACATGCATACACATAAAATGTTGAATAATTTATTTACTTACAGTATTGTCATACTGATAAAATAATTGATAATGTTTAGTAATAAAAGTTTTTTTTTCTACAGACTTGAACACTCAGTCCGCAGAGCTCTTCGACACGCCATTTGCCCAACTTCATGAAACGGGAAAAATGTTCCCTACATAACTATGTGTATCTGTGCAGGTATAGAATAGGATTAGAAATGGTGCTGAAAAGTTCTCATTATTATTTTTCAATGGGACAATAATTATCCATTAATCTCAAAGGTAGTATGTATAAAAAAATTATATGGACTGAACTATAGCAAATGATTTGTGTATCTAAGAAAAAACGTCGCCATTTGTATTCCCGTTCTTTATCTACAAGACATAGTTATCGGTGACTGTCATTCTAAGCGTCAGAACTTTAATACTTTCCATATGATTTATTTCTGTTATAGAAACTCATTGTGTTGATTCATTTTTTATGGCAACACTTTCATCTCTGTCTCAAGGCAATTTTATAGTGATTAGTAAAATTGCCGAATTTTCATAGAAAAATTATAGTTGAAAATTCATATTTTTTGATTATAAATATAATTCATAAAATTTATTTTGTCAAATGTTGTCACATTGAATGACATTCTTTTTAACTGTTTAAAATGTAACAGTGACTGCCTCTGCCTTAGCAATAATGTTTCGATAGGCGCTATAAGTACTTAAGTGAGTGTATTTTATGCTTATTCCCTGTAAATATTGATACGTAATTTTAAATAGAAAATGAAAAGTGCATGACAAAATCAAACATTTTTTACAATATTTTTTAAGACTTTCTTTTTTATTGTAAATAATTTTTTTATTGTATTAGGAACAAAATATTTTAAGGACTCGATCAGTACCAGTGGAATGTGAGATGCTAGCTTTTGTATTATATGCATGTATATATAACATTGTCGGCCTAATTCGTTAAACTGCTTATTGTATCTATGTATACTAATATTATAAATGTGAAAGTTTGTGAGTATGGATGTTTGTTACTCTTTCACGTCAGAACGGCTGAACGGATCTGGATGTAATTTGGCAGATGTTAATTTAATGATAATGATAATTTTCTAAACTTTTTATACAGACAGATTCGTTACATAATGTAAATATAAGTTGGGCATAAAAAGTAAAATTTCTAAAAAACGGACTTAGCAGGTTAACAAATTAGACCAATGATATCCAATTGTAAAAAAAATTCAAAATCATGTTAATTTCTTTGTTCAATCTTTATCTTTTAATTCCATATAGTATTCTAATAACCTGGAAAAATGATATAAAAAAGAAGATGCATTGGATTGGTTACAAAATTAGATAGAAATTACGATTTATTAATACTTTATCGAATTTATCACATTATTTTGTTTTGTGTAAAATATATCTATATAAGGTATCTATGAAAAGTTATAACTAAACTATAATCGATTGATTGAGTGATTGATTTGTGATTGAATCAATCATATGTCAATCATTTTGTTGCTATATTGAATGCAAGAATTCTTGTTTTTCCAAGAATGTGCATTAATTCGTAAAATAAAATGTTCATTTCATATACATATTATTATTATGACGTCAGTCAATGTATTGACATAATTGTTTGTGAAGTAGAAAAATATCGATATCTACATTAGTGATTCTATAAAACATCGAGAACGTGAAAAGCAAAATGTCAAGATTGTTGTTAATTTAGTATAATTTCAATGAAATATTTTAGATCGATCTATCTTAGGTGAAATTATTTGAAATATATACCATACTTGTATATATATAATTATAGTACAATATATTTTAAACAATATTTTTATTAATGCAAAAATATGAACATAATCTGGGTATTTTGCTTTCATTGAATTCTTCACCGAATCACTAATTTTGGATATTGTGAGAAAAAATTGTATTAAGTCAAATTTTCGGCATTTTTAATGAATCATACATATCAATATCATTCTATTATTAAAAATGTGAATTCAAGAAAATATTTTGTATGAACTTTTAGATCTGTCTAGTGTAGATACATCAGGGAGTGTTAGTTGTGGATGGCGAAGTGTTCGTATGTAATAGCTATTACGATCAGTCTCTTTTATTATTGCTATTTTTAAATCCCCTTATAATACTAAAAATGCGAAAGTTTGGATGGATGGACGGATGTTTGTTTGTTTGTTTGCTTGCTTGTTTGTTACTCTTTGACGCCATAAAGGCTGAACGGATCTGGATGAAATTTGTCACAGAGAAAGATTGTAGTTTGGAATAGCAAATATGTTACTTTTATTCCGGAAAAATGTACAGTTCCCATGGGATAGGTTTGTTTTTGTTTTTCATAATAGGACAAATGAGAGTGTTAAATACTTTGACAAAATATTTCTGATTTTCTATTTTATAAAGTGTAATTATAATACATATTGCCAGCACAAAATGATTGTAAAATTTTTTTTGGATGAATTGCTATACTGGATTATTTTGTCAAATTGATAAAAATCCCCCTACATTTTGAGATAGTTTTTGTGTGTTGCCCTATTTTAAGTGATGAGCAAGAAGTAACAAAATTTAATTATTATATAATCGACACTTCAGTTTTAGTTAATTTTCTTGGTTTTGTATTGAGACGTTTAATGATATAATATGCCAGTGTTATATGTTCATTTTGTCAAATCTACGATTCATGAAATAAAATTCATTGCTTACACAAATAAACATGGGAACACTTTGTTCATGTGTGTACGCTTTTTGTGTGGTTGTGGAATTGTTTCAATGTATAATTTTTTTTGTCTATATTGGATCGATCAATATCATGCTCTATGATGTTAACTACGAACGCTTCAAGTGTATTGTAAATACCCATTCTTTATTCAATTAGATGTATATTCCATTCAAAATGCATATTATATCAGTCTTTGTATGAAAAGAGAATTAATCTATACAGATAAATAAAATTGAAGTGTCTGTTTGTAATGTCAAAATGACAGCTTTTTAATAAATGCATATGAAATTTTATACAGTACTCATAAGAAAAATACAATTTATAAATTTTTTGTCTGTTTGTTTGTTCCGGGTAATCTCCGATACGGCTGGACTGATTTTGACGGGACTTTCACTGGCAGATAGCTGATGTTATAAGGAGTAACTTAGGCTACTTTTTTTCTAGAAAAATAATTAGGGTTCCGCTCAAAAAAATGAAAACGTATCTAGGGACGCACGCACCCGTACGAAGCGAGGGTAAGTCGTTAGTTAGGAATATATTCCATTAAAATGCGTATAAAGTCTTTGTATCAAAAGGAAATTAATTATAAAATAAAATCTGTGAGTGAGTTGGGGATATGTTGCCTATGGATTGAATGAATTTTAAATATTACGGATATTTTGTTCTGATAAGACAGTTGCTTATACTTCATATTATTAACACTGAGATCGATTGTTACTGAACCTTTGAGTGTATTCGATTTGTATGTATATTATATTGATACATGTCTGTATATAGTCATCGGTCGAGCAGTTTCTAAGTAACGATAAAACATACATCATAAACATCATTCGCTCCTATCATGTTGCACGTTCATTCGTCCTTCATTCATCCATTCACTCGTTCTATTGACAGAACTGGTTTTATGTTCTGTTATATATTCCAAATATCGTTAATTAATTATGAAGCAACTTACAGTAAAACGTTTTGATCAGAGATTGATTTTAAATTTACAAATTTAAGAGTGCTATAGCATCAATCAAATGTTTTTTTACTATATTACTATTGGTTAAAATGAAATTTCACAAAAATCTTTGAATTTAAGACTTAGTGTTAGTAACAAGTTTGATGATTTCAACCAATTTCTCATATTATACAAAGTAAAATCAAAGCACGCCGCCATCGGTAGTAGTACATTGTGGTTTTATATGATTCTTATATTTTTTCCTCTTGAAACATAAAAAAAATACATTAAACTTATTCTCTTCTCTTCTGTTCTTGCAAAAATAAACTTTTAAAACTTAGTTTAAGCGAGGTAAATGACAAGCTGTCGACATCGACACACCAACATCGACCACACATCACAGGATATTAACGTGGCAGCTTTAATGTAGGTGTAAATTGATTTCGAATTATATTTTTGTACTTAGATATAAGTTGTAGGGCTTCATTCATTCGCATGTCATTCGAACAAGGCAAGGTGCTCTAAAATATCGCGTTTGAGACGTTTTTTAAGAAATTTGTAGATAAGCTGTACATTTTAGTCTGTAATTTGTCTAGATACTTAGTTGTAATGTCACTTTTTATAAAGTTAAATATTACGCGTATTTTCACACGGTTTTCAAATTTTTTGATTTTTACCGGAAAGCTAGTTTTTAAATAAAATTTTTAACGTTTCGATTTTTCTCCTACTTTTCCATTGGTAAAGTTAATCGATTTAGATTATTTTTATACATTATTTTTTTAATTATGTAGTTTCAAGTATTATATAAATTAAGGCATAATAAATAAGCAATAAATTCTTCTATGAAGTTTAGAAGTAATTTTTGTATGAAAACTTTTATTTATTAATAATGAGATTACAAAATAAAATCGCTGATTTCTTATATTGTGTTTTATTATTCCTTCGGCATCCTCTACTTCAAAATATAAAAATAACGCTCGAGTGCGTCCCTGGGTGCCTAAATAGTAGCCTATATATTTGTGTATTACATAAATTTCATCCAAATCTGCTCAACCTTTTATGTGTAAAGGAGTAACAAATACACGCACACAAACTCTTATTTATAATAGTAGTGTAATATAATATTATAATACATATAATAAAATTCTAATCGAGTTGAATCTGTACATTAAATATTATTTGGAAAATCTTACTGAAATAGTCATTGTTATCGATACAGAGGCCGAATCTATAGTTTTTAGAAATTTGGTCTGTCTGAGAACGCATCACAATAAAACCACTGGACAGATTTCGATGAAATTTGGCATGATGATAGCTGCTTATCCGGGTCACTACATAAGATACTTTTTATTGCGGGAAAATATTTTGTCTCTGAGAAATTTATACTAATGGTTAAAAATGCTAAGAATCTACACGTATAGAAGTGCGTGTCGATAGTAATGTCATCACTTTGTACTACAATATCACTCACAAGTCGCACAACGCGGCGGCACCTCTTCAATAACTCTCGTTAGATAGGGATTAATTCCGTATACAAATGGTATCAAACTACACTGATATTGTTTTCCTTTTGAACCCTTAACGGACTATGGATTTTACCTTTTTAACTATAGATACCTAACACTAATTAATACGTTTTATCTTTTGGGATGGATCCGTCCCTACGCAAATTCGACACGCACTAGTCCTAATTTATAAAGATTCGCTACAATGCCACTTTATTTAATTTATTATAAAACTGATATTTATTAAATTAAATAGGCAATATTTGTTGCGTGGTAGTTTCAATTCGCCCCGTGTTGTTTCCACAGTCTTCAATTACGAGCGCGATCTAGATCGTATCGCCACCGTCCGCCATTAGCGAGACACACAGGCTGAATATGTTTAACACGTAGGTAGTCTAGACCGCAAGAAATATTATTTTATTTTTTGGGAATGTATTAATCTTCAGAACATATCTCATTATATCTATCATATTGTAGAGTACTACATATAGGCGTATGTACTATAGAAATCATCTCACTTAAGTAACCTATTTTAATAAACTTTCATAAATTCGTCGTCCCCGAATACAAGGGTTAGGAAGGGTTCTTGTAAGGGTTAGGAAATGAATAAAAGATATAAACATTAATATAGCTTAAAGTTTTAAAAGCTTCTTCTTTAATTCTGCGTCATTAGACAAAATGATGAGGAGACGGATTACTAACAAATTTCATTTTTCCATTAATTTCTGATGTCTTGTACAGAGATACAATGAAGAGAAATTATCATCATAGGAAAATTTAAGTCGTAGATACACCTCTCATATGTTTGTTTTAACCAATGAAGGACATTATACGTAAAGAAATAAAATCATAAATAGTTGTTATATTTAGAAATATACGTAAATGTTATAGGTATATAATAATTCAAAAGAGAATCCTGATATTATACTTAAAAAAAACGAAATCTAAAAAAAATTTTTTCAAACCTCATCATACAAAAATATTTAACAACAAATGCTTAGGTTGAACTCTACATCTACCTATAAATAATACAGGTAAATTTAACATCGTCAATCCCCATCCCCTTATCGTCGGATACCATTCATGGTGTTCCCCTTACCCTCGTAGGAGACTTCAACAAGTTCTCTGGAACACGTGGTAGGGTCGCCCCCGCGGCGCCCACTCGGCGCATGCCCCCGCCACTGCGCAGCCTGCCCGCGCACCCCGCCATACATCCCCGACCGTATTTCAGCCACGACCGACTGTAAAAACGTGATGAAAACTTGCCGTTCCATCAAAAACGAGGTAACAATTCTCATACAAGTGCATCTGCTCTCCCAGAACCGCGTTCCTTCCGCCGAGGCGCCATTAGAGCGTCGATGGTGTGGGAGCGCGGTTAAAAATAAAGCGCTAGAAATGCGAGACTGGGGTGAGGCAGAATGGCGGGGGTTGAGTGAGCGCCCCCGACCGCACCCTTTTGTTGGCGTTACCTGATAGCGAGTGCACGCAACCTTGAAAATGTCGTTTTCAGATATAAGCCATGAACTTCGCGCCGTTTACCGGTCACATCCCGTCCGGGACGGGCCTCCCGACGATTCATCAGTTCGCGGCGAAGTTCGGTTATGAGGGTGGTGGTGGAGGCAGTGGCAGCGTGGTGCAGGAGACGCGATACCAGGCGACGGGTAGCGGCGTGCAGTTCGCGGTGGCGCCTGCGGCCGGGGTCACGGTCGACGGGGTCAAGTTCAGGCAGGCGGAGAGCGTGGTCGTGGTCAGCAATGCGCAGCCAGGGACCGTCACGTTGGCGGGAATTGCGCCTATACATACTGGTAGGTGTTACATTACACTTTTTACCATTTTGAATGTAATAGACACATTTTTAAATGGAAATATTAATTTATTTCAGTAAACACAGGTGTAAAATATCAAAGCATTACCGCTACATCGTCGACTGTAAATGTAGGTAACATCGCATACGGCGGCGCGGGGCAGGTCGGCTACGTGCAGGAGACCGTGCTCAAGGGCGAGCAGCGGGACAAGCGCGAGTACCGGGATGAACTGCACCACGACCTCATGGCTTCTATGATGCAACAACATCAAGGTAACACTTATTTTGTTTATGTATTATCGTATATTTTGCCAGAAGTAATTTCAAGTTGATTTTTATTTCGTAATTTACAGTTAAATATCTAGAAGTGATAGTTTAAATATTTATATTTCACACTTAAAATCCGGAAATAGGCTAAAGTATAAAATTGATTTAAATTAAACTTAGATATTAACTACCTATCAAAATTATCTGACTTCGAAAAATTAGGTACCAAACGTTGTAAGTACTATGTACTTATATGTAAAATAATTGCATAGTTATTTATTTATAGTCTCCCAAGCACCCTTACAACAAGGCACTCAGCAGCTACTCGTGGTGCTGCACGAGCCAAAAGAAGGGGCGGCCCTCGCGCGCGCCATCAAACAGGAAGGTCGCATGCAGAGAGAAGTGACCAATGCCCCTGCAGAGTTTATCAGTAAGTAAGAATGTTTTGTTATTTAAAATTGATATTACCTATATTTAAATTAATCTTCAATGTTGTAAAACTTTTATTACCTAGATTTATCTATCCATTTATTCATATCTTTACCTATTTGTAAGTTTGTCTTTTATATTCTATATAAATTCCTTTCGTTTCTTTATATAAATCGCATTTATCCACAGGGATCCGAGCGAAGCGAGAATACGTCACTAGTAATTTAAAAAAATAATAGATGAATACAATTTTAAGCTTTTTCCAGAGATGGAACGTTGTTATTACAGTCGATACGTATATATTAGCATGTACTACATTACAAATATATATTTAATATTTTAGGTATAGGTGACGTAACGGACACATCTACATGGCAAAGCCTGGGCGGGGGAGTAGCGGACTACTTGTCCGCCTTGCCCCTGCCTTTGCATCATCTGCTAAAGTACTCCACCAGCCCCAGCGACGGCAAAAGAGATGAACCCACTATCGTCACTGTTGCCACCAACTCTTTGCCACCCATGTCTACTCTAACATCGGTAAAAATGTATTTTTCTTAGTTTATGACATTATTTACAATCCTGACGAATCTTGATGATATTTTTACACAAAAGCTTAAAAAATTTCATTGCCATAATATGTTAGCTATTCTGATTATATATGTACCTTTAAAAAGTATTTTACTTTTAAAGTTATCTATCTAGCATTTTTAATATACCTAATAATATTGTTAAGCATCTTGCTAAGATTCTTAAAGCAGTTCTTTTACTTTAATAATACCTACTTTATTATGTTAATGTTTAACATTTTATAGGTTCCTACTAACGTAGTAAACAGCGTAGTGGTTCAGACAGCTACAATAGTAAATCCACCAACAAACAATACTGTTAATACAAATCCGAACATTAACACCATATCTATTGCGAAGAAGAAGAAAAAGAAGAAAACTCTTAAGGAGAAAAAACCTCGACCAAAGCCGGGTGAAATAAGATTAACTACTGCTTTAGGTAAAAAAAATATATTTTCAATATATACCTACATAATATTAATATTATAAAATAACTAGCAGAACCCGCGACTGCGCTCGCGCTAAATGTAAAAAAAAGGTACGTTCACACAAACTTTCATCCCCTTTTTTCTCCTAAAAAATGCTAAAATACGTATTTATTTAATTGTATTGAAGAGCATTATTACCAAATTTCAAGTAAATCTAAATAATATATATTTTTTAATTTGTATTATAACGTGTTTTCCCGTGGGAATGAGATAATCTCCCGCGGTAAAAAGTAGCCTATGTCACTCTCCCTCCAACTGTCTCCACACAAAAAATCACGCCAATCCGTCACTCTGTTTCGATGTGAAACAAGGACAGACAAACAAACAAACAATCACACTTTCACATTTATAATATTACTATGGATATGCATAATATTATTTAAATAACAATTATTTTTGGTTTTCAGACGGTAGCACACTTTACTGTTGTCCAGAATGTCACATGGCGTATCCTGAACGAGGCCTGTTAGATCAACACCTTGTCGGGCACACTCTGGAGAGGAGGTAATTGAGACATTAGACAACTAATTTTTGACAACATTAAAACAAAAAATTGAAGTGTCACTCTGTGATTTCTAAATAAACACCTACCACCCATTGAAAGCAATACATAGGTAAAATATCAAAAGGCTAACCTTTTTAAGCTTGCCTGTATCCATTTGTAACTGCGGAACTCCGGAACTGAGTTGATTTTAATGGAACTTTTACTTTATACAGAAAATTCGGATAGGGATTTTGACTAGGTTATATCCGCTTTATTGGAAGGAAAGATGTGCCCGTCTGATAAGACAGAAGAACAACTGCTAAATTTTAACATTTTAATAAAACTTTCAATAAATTTTATCTGACAAATTAAGTCTATCTCTAATCTAGTCTTGACTAAGAATAAAACAAAAACGAAATATATTATATCTTAGTAATATGTATTTCCATATTATCCCCAGATTCATCTGCGATATTTGCAACGCAGCGCTAAAGCGCAAAGATCACCTCACGCGGCACAAGCAATCACACAACCCCGAGCGGCCGCACGTCTGCTCCGTCTGCTTGAAAGCTTTCAAGCGCAAGGAACAACTCACGTTGCATTTCATCATACATTCTGGTGAAAAGCGACATGTCTGTAATGAGTGTGGGAAAGGTATTATATTGAACTTTTTGTTATCTTAACGTATTTTCTTGTACAAGGCAAAGTAATATCCTCCTCGACTCTAATCAGGGCTAATTTTACTAAGGTGGGTCATAACATAATTTAGCTTGTAAATACCACTTACGATTAGAGATATATAGCAAAACCGATTACTTTACATGCTTTTCGATATGCGAAGACTTATCACAGTCAACCTGTTAACTCCGGACTATTAAAGAGATTTTGTAGAGAAAAAAAATCAGTATGTATATATGCAGCTACAGATTTCTAGCAAGACACGAATTCATGCTAACCATAAGAGAAAGCTTTTCATATCTACATACTACATAGGCGCTTTGCATTATTCGTTCTTTGCAAATAATTAATGTGGAACTGACTGCTTGTAAGTTGTATCTGAATCACCAGAAATCAAAAAAAGGATCAGGATTTGTTTAGAAATAAAATTATTTAAATGTTATATTATAAGAATAATACCTTTATTTATGTTTGCAGGATTTTATCGTAAGGATCACTTACGCAAGCACACACGGTCACACATAGCGCGACGAGTCAAAGCTGAGCTATCTCAGCAATCCACAACACCTCCTCTCTCACAGGTAGGTTAAAACATTATTATTATAGGCTCCCGAAATTTATTACTTATTAAATTTTCAATAATTAATATTACTCGTTGATTCTCACTTAATATTTTCCACCAAAGATAAGAGACTGAACATACAATATGAACTTTCCATGCATTAGTAAATGGTTTGATTATTCTGCTTTTAATAGAAGGCAAAAGCCAGTGTATATTTTGTATATTGTTTTATTTTCACAGACGGCACCTGCGCCACCGCTAGAGCCGTCTTGACCCAACGACGAAAAGAATGACTTATTGACTCTCATCGCAGCCGCTAAAGATGCTTTTTGACAGTAGGCCTCAAGCCCGGAGGGTATATAGAGACAACACAAGTTCTTCTAATGTGCCTTTAGTACGAGTTTTAATAACGTTTAAATTTGAATTTCTATTCTATCTATATAATATATAGTAAGGAAGAATTCGTTTTAGAATGCCGTTAAAACTCGTATCAGGCTGTAAAATGTTAGGTATCAATCGCGCCATTTGTAGTGCAACGTCGCATCTTTAAAGTAAATTTCATTGACCAAATATTATTAAAATTTACAAATTATTAAAGTGATTAGTAAAAGTACTTAAGAAAGATAAGCATTTTCTAATTAATTACTTCATGGAAAATGTCTTGAGTTTGGAGTTTGGATATTACAAAATATCTACTTCTTTATATCATTTAGATAATAATTAACGAAAAAACAATTTTGTTTGTTGCATTACACACAAACAGACTTATGTAAAACGTAGATCTTCGTGTTAAATATTATATTATTTGATTTTGTAACTGAGCTTCCATAACATCGGTCATTTAGCTTCTGCTTGAAATGGTTTAAGCAAATTCGAAAAAAATATGATTATGATGAGTGTTGCCAACATTAGTAGATATATTAAAGTGCGAAATAATATTTAGAAAAACCTTCGTAGTTAATGTAAATAGAAATAGAGCGCTAAAAAATAGTTGATAGATATTTTTGTAAATATTTAAAATTATAGCGCATGTAAATAATTAAATATGAAAGTGACATTTCAAAATGTGATAAAATGTATATAAATGTTTTTTGTTGTAATATTTTCTTGGGTATGTGTAATTGTTTGTTATATTTTAAATTGTTTCAAAATGCGTTGTTGTTTATAATCTGTTATAAATTGTTGCAAATTGTTCGATAAACAAAATTTTGGAGGTTCTAACTTTTTAATAATTAAATTTAACTTTTTAGCTTACTTTTATTTTTAATTAATAAAGTACAAAAATGATTAATATTTAAGAAACAGTTACCAGTCAGTGTTACCAATCTTAGAATATTTTCGATTATTCCAAATGCTTCCAACTTTCCAAATATCCATTATAATTTTGTAAAATGTTAAATAGAAAAAAAAAACTAAATAATAAATTATATGTCAGAAAAACGCAAAAATTGGCATTACGTAGGTCAGTAGTACATGTAAATTTACTTGTATGCAATAGAAAGAATATAGGTGCTTCCTTAGAGGCTTCTTATCCATTACTTAAAATAAAAAAATAAAACCAGTTAAATTAGGGTGCAAAATATTTTATTTTGTACTTTACGTTACAATTAAACTTATAAATAAGATCACAAGATGTGTAAAGACAAGAGGAACTTCGAAGATAAAATTTTAATTTTTGGTACATTGTATGGCACCATTGAAACTTACGAAATGAAATAAGCATTATCACTATTATCTGATAAAAAAATGAGGCTGAAATTTTAGCATTTGGATTTTTAAGGCAATTGATTGAATTTATATAAATATAATAATTAAAAAACCTATTCTAAACTTAGCCATACATGGTATAAAAACAGCAAAAACTACAAAATTTGTATAACCCAAAGCGTAAAATTATCTTCAAAATACTGAAAACACACGTGTGTAAAAAAATTATTTATACATCAGAAATAGCGAAGGAAGTTCTAATTTATGTACTATCTAAAATAAAATCGTTAAAATGACAACAAAGCCGTTATTTATTACATTACACTAAGATATGTACAAATTGCTAAAACATGATATAAACACTCGGAGATCATTTGGACCCGGCATTTTAAGTGCAAATAAAATATTTCAATGCTACGTATTTTTTGTTTCATTTACATGCTGTTTATTATCGAAGGGATTTTTAGTTATATAAAAAATCGATAATTATTACATATTATAAGATTAAGCTATTATATACATAAAGGTATTTATAATCTATAGATCTATAGAGATTAATAAAATTAAAGTGCCTGTTTGTGAAGTTAAAATAACAGCTTTATACTAAATGCATAATATGAAATTATATACGGTACTTATACGAAAAAAAAATTTTTTAAATTTTTCGTCTGTCTGTTTGTCTGTTTATTCCCGCTAATCTCCGAAATGGCAGGGATAGCTGATGTTTTAAGAAGAAACTTAGGCTATTTTAATTTTAGAAAAAGAATTAGGCTTCCGTTCAAAACAATTATTTATACTATTAATATATTTTCTTATTTAATCAGATACATGATCTTAAAATGCCAGTGCACTATTCCACAATGTCAAAAAGATTTAAGTACAACTAAAATTGAGAGCTAAATCAATTCAAAATTTTATAATACAATATTTTGATTTTAAATCTTATTATAATTATTATTATTAACACTAATTAAAAATTTTATATTGGATTTTTATTCACGTTCATGATTATAGTTACGAAATGTAGACAAGTGTTCTCATGTCCAATGGTATATTTAAATATAAAGGGGTTGGAACATTTTCCTATGGAAGCTGGCTATCCGCCGCCATTTTGTTTTATTTTGTTTTAAGTATAACTCGCGTCATCTAAAAAGAACGCTAGAAGAAAGTGGCGAGGGTATGTTTGCGCATGGGTATACTCGCGCACAACAGTACTAAGCCTATTATTTTATTTTTCACAACATTTCGCTCGCGGCTTCATATATTAGTTATTGGTAGGGACATTGAAAAATATATTACATAGAATTCCATTCATCATTAAAATATGTTTGATTCAGTGTAGAATGTTTAATTTACTTACAAAAAATTAAATTAATACGTTTTATAAAAAAATTTTAATTATTAACTGCATTATTATCAGACTCTCTCTTTGTAAAACAATTACGTCAAAAATAATTTTTCTCTTTTCTAGATATAAAACCATTTTGTAATTAAAAACTTTTGTATGCGCGATGGTATTTCGAACTGACGAACCAATAGCGCGCCGGCAAGCACGCGGCGCGCGCCCCGCCGCCCCGCTTCTTACCACCAATTTGACCGATAAATCGCTTCTGCGCAGCTTGACAGCCAGCGTTCTTTTTAGATGACGCGAGTTATAGCATCGCACACAATGTACATAGTCGGAGGACATTTAAAAAAATATAGGATATATTTTTGAAATTTACGCGAAAAAATGACATTTTAAATAAAACTATCTTATCGGACTTTTTCGCGGATTTATAAATAGAAATATTTTGATTGTAAATAAAGATTACTAATTAATAACATTTTCTAAAAAATTGTAATAATTATAATATTAACAGCTAAAATTAAATAAATAATATTCCATATGCAATTATTATAAAACTTATTAAAATTATAAAAATGATTAAAATTTACAAATATTGTAAGGTACTTTGGTGCCATTTTTTAATTTTTTTGACTTCATTTTGTTATTTGTGGGTAGGCTGTCTGTAACAACTTTATAATGCCTTTGAGATATCTAACACCTTAGTCTCTCCCGTGACCACGATTGCTGAAAAGCATTCAAAACGTCGGGAACCAAAAATCAAAATAAATCCGCGAAAAAATCGGAAAAAGATAGTTTTTTTTTAAATATGTTTTTGAGTTATCGATTTAAGTCGGCGAACTTTACCTTTAAATATCTCGGGATACGTGACACTTTAGAGCGGACACCTGAATGATTAATGTTGATATTAAGCTATTGCATAGCTTCTATCGCGGGCCTTGAGCGTGGGGACCGAATCCAGAAATTCCGTAACGAAAAAAACCTGACACCCCCCACTCTGACTGGCACAGCGGTGATACTTTTTAGTTTTTCCATCTATCGATAAATACCAGAACTTTTAATGACTTTTTGAAATATCACGCTTGTCTCTTTAGTTCAGCAACCCGCCTTTAGGTGGCATTGGTTGTATTGGAAAACTACCGTAATCAGCTGTTTGTGAGAAAGTATATAGGTGTATAGGTATTTATCATCTATGTACAACGGTGAATATCTGTACTCGTATAATTTGTGTACAAAGTGTTTTAAATATGAATAAACAAAGTGCATTTATTAATGAAGAAAGTCAAGGAAAAAAATACTGCATTAATAAAATAAATAAATAATTATAATTGCATAAGTTGATAAAAAATGCTATGCAATAAATTTACCGCGGCAGTCTCCGAGTGCCACATTGAATTTTATTTTAATTTAAGTGACTTCTATTCATATAATATATACCTCTTACATTGTATGCTTCTTTTTAGAAAAAAAAACAAAACAAATGACGGGAGTTTGACATAAGAGGTTCATCCCTTTTAGTAAGTTCAGGGAATTTCATAGAAAAAACCAAAGAGAACTTGGGCTGGACTGAAGAATTATTAGCCTATTTAATTTATAATTTGAACGTAGATTGCATAAATAACGTATCTTTGTTTCTAGACCACACCTGATGATTCTTATATTTTGGCCGAAATAGGTCTAAAGATCACTGCGCTTTAATATGACATTTGCATGTCAAAAGGACTTAGAATTGAGAGGTGGATCAATTCAATATCGTATAATACTGACGTATAATTTTGACGACACGTTTGGCTCAGTTTGTAGTGAGCCCTACTTGCTGTGCCAGCGATCGCAGGTTTGAGTCCCGCTGGGGGCATTCTTTTGTGTGATGAGCACGAATGTTTGTACTCCAGTCATGAATGTTTATATTTATAATATGTATGCATTTAAAGTTATATGTGTGTAGTGTATCAACTATCTGGTATCCATAACACAAGCCTCGTAGCTTACAATGGAACTAGATGGTACTGTATGTTAAAGTCCCAACATAATTATTTATTATTATTATGTATTTATTATGACTCATTGTTTTACCACTTTATTGCACCGTAAAAAATATTAAATATACATTAAATATGTATGTATAAATATGTATGTAGGCTAGAAATATTTTGATTAATTTTCTGAAAAAAAATATTTTCACAGAAAAAAATATCTGGAACTACATATTTAAACGCCCATTTAAAGTTTAATAATTTTGAAGTGCAATAATTCCCAAATTGCTTAGCACTTTCTTAGATTTACGCCAATATTTGATGTTTTAAATAAAACTATCTATCTATACGGATTAGTTCGCGGATTTATTTTGATTTTTGCTTCCCGACGTTTCGAATCCTTTACAACAATCTTGGTCACGGGAGGCACTAAGATTTTAAACGTATATGTGATTTTAAACGATTTAACAAAACATCATTCAGCATTCGAAACGTCGGGAACCAAAAAAAAAAACCCACGAAATAATCCAAAAATATAGGTTTTATTTAAAATTCCAAATAGCTATTATATTGTCAAGGATGCTAAAATTCTACAAAATGACTGTTTTACCGACTATGATTTTTCATCAAATACTACTGCTACCAGATAAATGTCAATAATACAATATACATGTTCTAATAATGACATTTATCTCGTCTTTCTATTGACGAAAAACGATAATGACGTCACATTTAGATCTAAGCAATGTTGTTGCATTTCTTAAATTAAAAAAATATATATATCCGAACCAAATATAAGCGACATGCATATTCCCTATTACAAGTTTAAGAAATGCTAAAAATAGATAAAATTTTATGATTTATCCTGAATTTGAGCCTAAAAAACGAAATCTGTATAGATTTTATAGTACAATTTAATCTGATTCAGCCTGGGGATCTATTGTGACTGCTCTCTGCTCGCCGTTGTCTAAGGACATCACCATTTGGTAGGGGACCTTGATCTGCAGCGGCACACGGATTTTAGAGTTCGATGGTGCCTGAAAATAACAAATACAATATATACATTTAAATATTACTAGCTACTCAGCCTCGTTCCGTTCGGGTTCGTCCTTAGTTACGTTTTAAAGTTTAGTATAGATTTCTCAGAGATGAGATATTTTCCCGCAGTAAAAAGTATTATATATGGTTGACCCGGATAACCAGCTATCACCAAAAATACCAAATTTCATGAAAATCTGTCCAGTGGTTTTCTCGTGATGCGGTCACAGACAGACAGACAGACAGAGAGACAGACAGAAATTCTAAAAACTATTGATTCGGCCTCCGTATCGATCATAATGACTATTTCAATAAGATTTTCCAAAAAAATTAATATCAAAGCAATTATTGTGCTAAAAATTAAAGGAATCTGAGATTTCATATTCTAAACTTTATTATGATTGGCAGTTTATTTCTGCTACATTATGTTTAAATTAAATATTATTTATCAATGAAATGACTAAATATATTCACTAGAAAATATCTTTTATCTACGATCCTATGTTAAGAAGAAAAGAGTGAAAACCAATCAATCAAAAAATACTAGATACACAAATTCCATGCAAAAAGTTCTCTTAAAACTAAAATAAATCTTACTTAAACCTAAATATACAATAACGTAAATATAACCTTAAATGCACAAATACTTAGTTGTTGTGAAAAAAAAATTGTTTAAATGAGCGCTCATTAAGACATTTTTAGTAAGTTCATTTCTAGTAAGTTTTAGTTTTTTGATTGATGTTGAAACGCTAAAAAAGAAAGTGTAGAAAAACATTACTTACATGTATTGTAATCTCGGGTTTAATTTCTTTCTTGGGGTGCATTTCTATAGGATAGAGACCGGGTATTTCCTTTTTCGGCGGCGGCCGGCGTTTGATCCTCGCATGCACTATCATGTGCTTTTGCAGATGGTCTTTTCTATAGAAACCTGCAGAGAAAAAATAAGTTTTGATATTACATTAGTACACAATATAATATATATAGTATAAGCATGCTACTGCTTTCCTAAGTGAAGCGAGAGTGCAACACAAGTTATTTTAAATAATCTACATTAATATTATATTAGTTTGTAGGTTTGTTTGTAGAGTAAACTTTGAAAGTATTAATCTGATTTTAATTTTTTTTACTAATAAAAAGCTACTCCGTCTAGAATTCTGGGCTATTTCATTTTGATAAAAATGTGTCTACTAACAGAAAACACAATAACTTTGAAATCGAAAAAAAAGACAATTGAGTTGCTTTACACATGCGCTGTCTAATCAGTGTAAAATAAACCAATAAAATGCATGGCAAAACACCTCGGAGGACATTTCACCATTAATTACGTGAGCTGTTAATTTGAACGCCTTCCTCCCCCTTGGTGACATTTGTGATTTGGTGGGGCCCCCACTTCCTCACATGAGATTAACGATACAGTTGTTAAAAATAATACATACAACATTCAGGTACTCTCAAAATAAATATTTTTTATAATAGCTGTGAGATTTTTTTCAGGGGGCAAAATGGAATACTTACAAAGGAAACTTTAGTTTAAAAAAAAAAATTCTTTTAAAGTTGACGTGAGATTTTCAATTATATCTCTCTCAATTCAAATGAGATTTAATGAGATTTTATTAAAGACCATTTTGAGCTCACGTAATTAATGGATGTCTTATAGCGAAGTCAAGGGAATTAGCTAGTTCTTACCTTTCCCACAATCTGGACAGAAGAAGGACTTGATACCGGTGTGTATGTGCAGATGTATTTTGTAGTGATCTTTTCTCTTGAACGGTTTGTTGCAGTACTTGCACACGTACACCTTGCGGGGCATCGGGATGTTGGCTTCTTCGTCGTGGAGTTCGCTCGGCTCGTTCACAATAACCTGGCAATTTCATTGTTTTATTATAAACTTTCTTTTTTATGTACCTTATAGTATTCACCTTAGCTATTTTGTCGCCGCCCAACTTTTCATTTCTTATAATAATTAGAAAATATTAATTTGCTCACTGTACGGGAGACAGTATTCGAGCGTAGGACTGAGAAATCCTATCAATTTATTTGTAGGACGATTTGATTATTCAACTATGCATATATTTAATAATAAATACTATGACAATTAGTCGGTTATTAATAAATTTTATGGCGTTGTTATTTTAACAAGTTCGGAGAGGGGGACGATTTGATCCAAATCATCTGTATTGTAGGACAAGATTTTATTCTTGTTTAATGTTGGATTATCTCAAGATTAAATCGTAAAACAACCAAAATTTTGACATGATTATAGAGAATATGCATGAGTTTTTTATACAATAGCTAACATCGTTATATAATTGTAAAAAGAAAATATCCAGCTCCAAAAAAACTAAAATTTAATATAAAAGAATTAAAAATATCATACCGACGTGACGTCAAAATATATACATAGAAAAATGACGAGTTTGTAGCGACAAAATCGCTAATCGCTCTGTTATGATAATACTTTGACGTCATATTCGGTCTGACCAATGGCGTGCGTTTCAACTAGTTTGAATTTACCACCTATATTTGCACTTTTTAATAATTATTTTCTGAATGAGAAAGAAATAACATTAAAAAAATATTGATATAGGCTTAATTCAAAAGAAATAATGATTATAAAAATTACGTATATATTGCATCTACCACTGTTAAATTTTCGTAGAAATAAAAGTAGGCGTCTTGTCAAAATGAAGTAACTCGTGAAGTTTCAGCTAGTTCTTCATCATTAAAAAAAATGTGGTGGACTATACGCATTAAGGGTGGAACCTAAAACATACCTCAACAAATTCGATAGGATTATTCTCCTTTTTAGTGTCTTGAGGAGAACTGCACTCTGTTTGACTGAGATCAGTCTGTTCGTATTCATTGTTCTGATCCATTTCATTGATCTGATCATTTTCACTATTCATACTGTCGTTGTGGTTCGCCCATTGACAGCTGTGGTTTTCAAATTGAGCATTATCACTGAAACCTGAAGAAATATTAGTTAGAAAACTATTCAAAAGTAAAAAAAAACTATCTATAGAGAACATTACAAATCTACTTTTAATTCAAGTTTTTTTTTTATTTTTCACTTAAATTTTACCACATATATATCTAGTACAGATGCTTCATCACATACAAAGACATTGGACAGCGCTAATTCGAGCTATTTTTCAGTTTATATAGCGTATGGTAAATACTGTAAAATTCTCCCTGCATTCGAATAAAAAAAATCTGTGATTTTAACAATTTTTAACCGTGTTAATAAACAATTCATAATAAGTAAAAGCGCCATCTGTGAATATACAACTACAAAGTACAAACCCATCATCTGATTGCTGATATTTCAATAATCAGTAAAATTACGCAAATTTGATTTACGGGCAATCATGGTTACGGGAGAAATTCTCCCGAAAAGATAGTTTTATTAAAAATATAAAATATTCGCGTAAATCTAAGAATGTATCAATATAAATAAGTTTAGGTACCTTCACTACACATTGAGCACCAGATAGTATTGACGGTTGGCGATGTTGAGACTTTTAAATGAACATTGGAATGCACTTTAAGATGCTGTTTCCTTTTGAACTTACGGTGACAAATGGGACATTCGTGGGGTCGATACTCAGGTATGATAGTTTTTCTAGGCACCAGTAGACTGGGAGTGTCGTCCTGCAAAGAGAATAATTAAGTTCAAATATAGTTCTTCGAGTTTTGGAAATATTTTATTGTATAAACTTCGGCTATGGCCTCCCTTCAATACGAGGAGGATCAGGCCATAGTCCACGCTGGCCAAGTGCGGGATGGCGGACTTCACATGTCTTTCTAAAACTGGCTAGGTTTCCTCACGGTGTTTTGCTCATGATGGAAATGGAAATAATTTGTACATGAAGCCGAGGTGCGAACCCACCCGGGGTTTGAACCTACATCACTCGGTTTCACAAGCCACTGGGATTTAAATTTTTTTTTAATCGTTATTTTGTGCCTGTAACACGTTTTCTTATATGATGTGAGCGTCCGATAAGATTGTATTTTTCGAAATTCATTCCGCAAAGGGATAAAATAGGAGGTGAAAGATTGTATGGAACTCTGTAATTTTTAGTGTAAAATGCACGGGAAGTGATATTTAGCTATAAAATAAAAAATGCAAAATATATTTATTAATTTTTTTCAAGATCATCCCTTAAAGCGTTTAAGTGTATGCTTGCTACTTTTAACGACTGGCTCTGAGATTTAATGCAAATTGCAAATCAAACTTCAAGAAGGAATTATAATGAATTAAATGCAAAGGCGTAGTCAGAGGTTATCAGTAATATTCGAGGTTGGAAGACTGATTCCCCCGAGCACATCCAGCAAACAAAGTGGCCACTATAATGTTTTATGGAATACTTGCAGTCTAGTCCCGTTACATAGCTTAGAAGTTAGGTTATTCATTGGAGGTACGCCAACCTTCAGAAGAAGTTTATGAGAAAGGAGGCCTGGTGGGTTAATTCTGTTAAAGAACTCTACTAAATTGTGAATTGCTTGATTTGTGACAAAACTTTAATATTCTATTTTTGACTTCAAAGGAGGTAGAAAGATGTTATTAACAGCAGTTCTTTTTAGGAGTTTTCATTTAGAATAGATACCTAATCAGAAAGCAAATTTAATATATTTCGATACGTAAAATACATCACAAATTGATGTATAATATTTTAACTATACTTAGAGTTCATACCTAATCATATTTACCTATTAGATATTCATACCTTCAAATATTGTCGGCTTGCACCGACTTCGAAAATATCTGATTTAGGTATCTATTCTAAATAAAAACCACCGTTTAGTTATTTTTTACATTTTAGTGCCTGGAAGTCGGTTTTTTTTTGTTTTTATTTTTCCTTTTTTAGTATAGACGTAATAAGCAGGTAATTTGTAAGAAGAAAGTTTTTTAATAATATATACGATTAAGCAATATATTTAAAAAAATAATTTATTGTTGATTTGTTAAAAACCGCTCGACGACCGATTTCGATAAAATTTAAATAGGACTTCGAAACAAAACAAAAAATATTTCCAAATCTGACCAGGCGCCTTTGAGTAATCGATGAGCATACACAAAAAAAAAGATTCCGACGAATTGAGAACCTCCTCCTTTTTGGAAGTCGGTTAACAAGGCAATATTCCGCGGTACGGAAGTCTCGATGCGCGTCATCATTCATAACCTATAAAAATGATGACAGCCGTCAAATTATTATTAGTTACAACGCCAAAGTGTTTTTTTTTGTCACTGCTAGACGATTTACGTAATTCATTTTTAAAGGATCTACTAAGAAACCGATTCTACTGGAAAGCAAAACCGAGCCATTGTTGTATAACGTTTTTTAGGCACAGAGGAATGAGTTGGTACTGCTTTACACTATAAACTATTATGGGGCGCCGTGCTTGAGTGAGTCGATCCTGCGATGCCGCATTAAGACGTTCCTATTGGTTTAAGTTGGTAATACCGACTTTTCTAGTCGGTTAATGCCCACATTACCCGTATATATACAGATGGTATACGTAAATGGTTTTGCCAACGTTAAAAATAATCTATCGCTATAATCAAATAGGATAATAACTAGCGACTCAACCTCATTTCGCTCGGGTTCGTCCCTGGCTTGATTCCCCATACAAACTTTCATCCTCATTTTAACCCCCTTAAGGGATGATTTCTGAGATAAAAAGTATCCTATGTCCTTCCCAGGGTCTCAAACTATCTTCTTACTAAATTTCATCTAAATCAGTTTAGTAGATCCAGAGATTAAACCCTACAACGTCATAAACTCACAATATCACAAACTTTACCTTTTTATAATATTAGTACATATAGATAATTGAGCCCTCCTAACGTCCCACTACTGGGCACGGGCTTCCTCTCATGCGACCGCTTGCAGGTAAAATACGGGATAGCATACTCCACATGTCCTTCGAACGTTGAAAATTATTCGCATTGAAATTATCAGAGAAGCAACACCGGTGGAAGTTCGGAGTTTTAACTTGTTTCACATAGGATACTTCTACGTAATATTGTAAGAATACATTTATCAGTAGACTGTTGATGTTTGAACAAAATATTGATATAGAGGCAAGACAAGATAATATTATTTTTAATAAGAATGTATACTCACAATAACTTCGACGTCGATCTCATCACCAAGCAGGGCTTGTAGCTTCTGTACACCTGTGTTGGCCTCGTGTGATCTGATGTGCACTAAGTTCACGTGCACAAGCATTTGGTCTTCTGTGTGAAATGCTGTAAAATTCAAATTATTAATATTATAACTAAAATATAAAAGAAATAACTATTGTGTTTAATATTACAACCAACTTAAAAAAAAGAGGTTCTCGATTGACGGTGTATTTTTATGTGTTATGTATGATATTATATTATATTGAATGTTTGCTAATCAGTTTTTCTATTGAATAGTTTATTTAGTGTCGAGGGTGGTGCCATTATGATAACAAAAATTATTACAAAAAATGTTAGAAAAAAAATTTGTTAAATAGTATTGAAAATGTTTTTTTTGCGATAATTATCGAAGGGGAAAACAATTATAGCCGTATTTCTAATTGTGATAATGATGTAGATTTACTTCTGTATGTATAACATGCCAATTTAAAATATTAAATACTCAAACAGCGTATGAATTTATTAAGGCAATGTAAAATCGAGATCTGTATCCATATGTATCATAAAGAAAGATTAGATTACTTTTATTTTAATACTAGCTTGATTCCGCATACAAACTTTCACCATCATTTTCACCCCCTTAAAGTATGATTTCTGGGATAAAAAGTATCCTATGTCCTTCCCAGGGTCTCAAACTATCTTCATAATAAATTTCATCTAAATCGGTTCAATAGATTCAGAGATTAACCCCCTACAACATCACAAACTCACAAACTTTACCTCTTTATAATATTAGTATTATACGAGTAGATATCATATTTGTGCCTAGATCCATAAGTAATAAAATGTTTCGGCGATTGGGTACCAAATTAAACTTTTAACAGGCTCTAACCTCTAGGGTTGTACCGTTAAAATTTTGAGAAAACTTTCACCTCAAAGGAGCGACAAGTCATACCTAATTTAATCTAAAATATTTATTTTGTGGAAATATTTCTTAAATCATAGTTAAAAATATATCAATTTGATCGACAAAGAATATTCGTGGGTATATCATATAAAATACTTATTATATTTATGTACCTAATTACAAAATGATAACTGTGATAATATGGTTCAACATTGAACCAAATAAATATGTATACCAATAGTTCATGTCATTTTACATAAATAAGGTCCCTTCCACTGCTCATTTTCCTAAAGGAAGCGCACGTTCGCCATTTCGCTTTTTGACCCACTTCAAAAGATGGGGAGGTACTCAATTCACATGTAGAACATCTGTACAGTAGGTGGTTATGTGGAGACACATCGGCTAGAAAAACTGGTATTACCTATCAAAACGCAAAACTTCACCGTCTTAATGCAATGTACCTACTCGTAGTATCGTTTAAAATTCAACTACAACGCCCCGACGGCTGGCCTGCCGAGGCAGAATAAAAAAAACTTGTAAGTTGCTCTAACGGCCCACTCTGCTATCCAGATACGATACGAGATATATAGAGATACGAGGCGCAACCCACGTAGTACACCTCCAGCGGCCCACCGAGATGGGCATGGAACGATTACGTAATGATTTAGCTTAATCTATAATGTTTAAGAATTAAGTTTCTCTCGTTCATCGATTTCCTTCCACGAAATATCGTTATTGAAAAACACGCCGCAGGCAACTTATAATAAATTAAGTCATAAACTATTTAAAAGCAACTTCTACCACGATCCTGGCTTTTACCAATACATGTCACAGCGCTGAGCATAAATAAAATTTATTGTTAAACTACTGACTTACTCTCGCCTCGGTCGGGTGCGTCTCTAGGTACGTGTGTACATATAGCGTTGCTAAAGTTTAATAGGTTTTTTAAGGAAAAAATACGTATTATATTTTCATATAACTTGATCGGTTTACACAAAGCACGATAATAGAGCTCCCAGTTGGTATGATTATTTCAACATTTTCAACAATTATGGTAATATTTCAGTTTAATTTACACAAAACCTTATGAATTATAAACCTAAACCTTACTCATGAATCACTCCGTTCATCGGTGAAAACCATAAGATCTGTTCGTTAGTTTTTGAGTTTATCGCGTTCTGACTAACATACAGATGCGGCGGGGGGATTTTGTTTTATAATATGTAGTGGTGTAAATTCATTACCAAACAGCTGTTTAACGTTTAGTAATATCATTTTAAACAGATGTAAAAAAAGATAGGTCAATTGGGGTCAACGTTTTTATTTTGGGTGTAGGTATTTAAAACGGACGAAATCTTCACCTTATACGAACCGAATTTACTAATATTTTTTTTATTAATAGGTTTAAAAGTGGTATCGTATATATATATTTCAAGTAAAAAAATCTAGTCGTGAAGTTGTTTTTCAATGGTTCTGGACTTGTGCAGTATCAAGGATATGTATAAAAATACTCTCAACAATACCTACTTCCATATTTATGCATTGTAACAAAATTTTAGAAAGAAAATACAATTTCTTATTTAAATTCTAACGAAGTCTCGAATATAGTTACTACATTTATAAAAAAAACGACCCGAGTCTCATATGTTCAAATTATTAACACCTTGTAATATCCAGGTTCGGGTTCAATATTTAATTACATTTAAAGGTTATTAAGGTACTTTTTTATCTGAAAATTTTTAATATTCAGTTCAAATATTAGTATGTCAAAGAATTTTTATCAAGTTTTAGGTTAATGGAAATTTTAATATTTTTCGCCGACTAACTTTCAGGCCTCACCCCATTCCATTCCATCCCACAGGGGTAGGTTTTTGTAAGATAATATAAAAGATAAGCCGTTCAGATTTGATTTGACACTACAGAAGGACTCGTTAGTTAAATAGTTTAACAGATAGTTAAACTAATCACTAATGAACTACCTACAAATTTTAAATAATTTAGTTTCTTAAAAAAAATCAACTTTTTTTCTAACTGTAAGTTTCTTAGACATTACATAAATCGAAAATTATGCGTTATAAAAAGAAAAACCTATAATAGTAGGAGAGCCCATGATGCTAAATGGTGATTTACTAATATCGTAAGGACCCAAAAATCCAATATTTTGAAGATTAGATAGAAGAAAGAAAAGAAGGTTATATTATTCCCTTTCACCGGTGATGGGAGCGTCTACAGGCTTTCGAAAATGTAAAAAAATAACAGTCACATGAAAATACTCGAGCGCGTCAGATATTGATAGTGTATATGCCTCACGTGTCTTTGAGAGGTAGGTCAATCTGCCAGTTTGCAATGTGATGGTGGCCGTACAGAAAGGCAAAATATGGGAAAAAATAATAATTACGCGAGCGCGTCTGATTTTCTGTTAAGTGAAGCCAAAAGTAGTTTCCATTTAAAAAACTGACGACTCGGACGTGATTTTTTGAAAATGCAAAATAAAATAGCTTTTTTGAAATACTCGAGCGTGTCAGATTATTATACAGACGGTTCAGCTTGATGTCCTGGTGGTGCTGATCCATAATCGACGACGATTATTTGGAGGACTTAGTACCTACGACTTAAAAATATTTTTGTATGTTTTTTTTCTGTAATGTCGTCATGGTGAGGAGATATTTTGTGGGAATGGTGTAAGAGAAAGAGTGAAAGAAAAGAGAACCGCAGAGTAAACAGTACATGGTTCACTGCAGCTGCAACTGCTCTGAACTTAATAGAAGATTTATGTTACTTCGGCTTATGGAAATCAGCACGTTATTGAAATGCACACTTTTCAGCATGTAATTAGCCCATCCACCATACCTTAATCTGACGCGGCTCTAATCGGTTGCGCTAGACGCGCGACCTTATACACAGCACTGTTTATTGTATATATGTGGAGGTACTCAACAGAGTGCTAGGTATCGCCCCTTACGTTAATCTGCCGCGCTTGAGTAAATCCCAAAATCCCCTATTGAGCTCCCCTACTATAAGATAATAGTAGGTAATTTATGTCTTAATAAAATTCGAATAATTTTGTTATTTAAATAATATATTAAACATTATAATATTTAATTACAAAAATTATAAAAATCATATTCCTAAACTATTTTTCATCATCAAACATGTGGATAAAATTAATAAACACTTACTATACATAGATTTAAGCAAATGGCTCAGACGGTCGAAGTCGCTCCATATGGATTTTTATCTAAAAAGATAACAAATACTCTAGTTTTAAATGTATATAAGAAGGATAATAGTTTAAAAGATATATTATGGTACTATTTCTTTCATTTTGACTCATTCTGTTCAAATGATTGGCGCTGAGACCCCGGCATTATCTTTTTTGTTAGATCATGCAGATATCACACGAGGAAAGGACGTGATTTAGAAATGTGTAAATGTATGCCATATATAACTAGTATATATTATGGCAAAATGATTTACCGTATAAAAGATATGCGTATAAAAGAAATTACAGAAATAATAAAGAAAAAATCAAATTTTGTTAATAAAATTTACCTAACGCGTACATTTTCAATACTTTCTATACTTAAACTTTATTAAAGCTTTTTTTATCACAACGATAGTAAGTACATAAACTTTAACAAAATATTATGTACAACAAATTCTCTAGAAGATAAAAAACATGAGGGAATATTTCAAAATCCATGCGGCGAACGTTAGCAAAGTTGAAATCCCCCATCTAAAAATAAATTCGATCCCAGAGCAAGCCCTCCCCTCCATTCCCCCTCGGCCCATGGGGACCGACACAAGTAGGAGGGACCGGCGAAGGTCGCTTGATATTCGAGCTCTCACCAACACGAACTGTATTTTCATCCGACTTTGAAATATGGCAGTATAATTATTGTACTTTGAATGAAATATGGTAGAATAATTATTATAAATTATAATAAGTCGCTAACCTAACATTTGCATACGATATATTATTATAGTGGTGACATAATTGTACTAGTTTTTCCAGAAAATAAATTGTAAAGAATAAGTAGGTATTATTAAAGCTTATATTATAAGTAACAAAGTAAGGCATATAAAGTTGTGATTTTTTAAAGCAAAATAAGATCAAAACATTATACTGACGTGTTTAAGATAAAGGGACATAGACACAGGGCATGTTTAAAAAATATTTATTTTAACATGTATATATTAAAAATTATGAATTCTC